CTTTGGTGTACCACTGGTCTTTATTTGTGCTATACAAATAAAGTTGTATTGTTTGTTGGCTCAGGCTAACCTGACATTTTAACCCTGGAGAACCCATGGGGTCAGATCTGGGTTCTCCAGGGTTAAACCACTGTTTCTACAGACCTGCTCAACCAGCCACAGCGAGCACAGGTAAACGTATAAAGACATCAGAGCTCTGTTTGCTACGCAGCCTTTACAAATACACTGGTAACATTTTACCAGATCCGATCTTTCCTCTGTCAAAAACCAACGAGCAGCCGATGTCAAAAATAACTGCAGGGACCGAGCAGAACGTTCACTGTCATCTCTTCTTCAAAGATAATTGGTGACTGCATCTGAAAACTGCACTTTTCTCCCATGACGATCTTAAAAACACCTTTTCCATCGTTTCCAATTCATTGTGTTGCTGTACAGTGGATACAGTAATTAGAAGTTATTTCAGGGAACAGACATAACTAACAGCGTAACTTAAACATGCCAAGAAACACACGGGGAGGCTGGTGCTTTCCAGTAAAGGACCTCAACTCTCTGACCCATAATCACAGAGTTTGATGTATGACTTCTGCAGTATATTTAGCTCCTTGTTGTCCTGGTGGCTGGTCAGTTTTGGCCAAACCAAACCAACGCTTTTAGACAAGATGCATGCATATCGCAGATTAAGTAGTAAATGAAACAACAACCACCATCCTGAGCGGAGATGAGCAGAACAGAGAAGTCCAGGAAAGGAATTAAAGAGTAGCTGGCAATCTAATGGACAGCTACTCTGTCCAGGCTTCCTCCTCATAAAGCTACACTGTGTGAGAGCATGTGTAATGAAGAAGTGTTGACAGGTCCTTACCTTTCTCCTTTTCTCCTTCAGCTGCAACAAGCCAATGATGAATGCAACTCTGCTGAAGAGAGAGGACGCCTGGCTCGGCGGTGACAGTCCTCCTCCTGGTTGGCAGAGGGTGCAGTGGGAGTGTCGGGGCAGCCTTTAGAAACTGTGGCCAACTCCACCGCGGAATATGACACAACTAAGACCAACGTATATCCAGTGTGGATCTATCACACACACTTACATGCACGGGGCTACTAGATGTGTGCACTGACCACGGTGTGAAAAAGGCTTACAAGTCTGACTACATAAACGACTCATTTAACATTCAATGTGAAATAAACAACAGTTAATAAACGTAACTGAGCTAAGTGAGAGTAGGAGCCTCATTCAGTGAAGGTTGTTAAGTTAAACAACGGTTTCTCTGAGTCTGAGATAAAGGGGATCAAGTGTTGAGCCTGTGATCAGCAGCACGGCAGCGCTGTGGTTTCACAGCACGCCGTTTTCTGCAGCTGTACAGGAGATGAGTTTGATTAAAGGGTTACAGAAGCTCTGCAGAGAGAGATGAAAAAGCAGCTGCGGCTCATGTTGAATCACTGCGATAAAGTCGCGGTCACTGACAAACGGAAATGACACGTTACACTCCGTTTGCTCCTCACAGATCAACCCATGGGAAAACTCTGATTTTAGCATAGTTTTCTACAATAACAATGGGATACATGTACATGTACTGTACTTAAAAATTAAGCTGAAGCAAAAGACTCAACTGTGTGTAACAGAGCCAACAGCAGAGCGGGGAAGGTTGAGGTTAGCTTTGCTCAATAAAAAGGTAGAATTATGTTTAACATGTTTCTGAGAGAAACTAATGTGTTGTCTCTCTGTAATCTCAGCCCATTATTACTCAAATATAAAAATAAAAATAAAATTGTAAAAAAGTGCAAAGTGGAGGCTGTTTATAATAGTTGACATAATTTTTTGTAGTATCATTTGTTTGTTTTCTTTATGTATGTGTATTCATATGAGCACAGCAGTGAAAAAATAATATGTTAATATATATATATACCGAACACATTATTAATGAGCTTGAAGTTCAAGATTCAACATACAGCATTAGTTACATGGATGCCACTGTCACACTTTTGTGCTGCTGGTAGTTACTGC